AAATTTAGAAAAGCATTCATATACTCTCCTTATTGAGGGGAAAGCAGTTTCAATTTAAACGCACCAGATAGTACAGTACATGGGACATTTGAATACTTAATCAAGCTAGATGGGTTCTCCAGGGTGGAAACAAATTATTGTGAGAGTGGAAGGTAATGCAAAACAATTGCTAATACAAAACAAAGGAGACAAAGGTGGGAAACGGGGTAATAAAAAAATAAAAATAAAAATGCCAAATTGAGAAGCTGAAATAGTTAAAGAACTCGGGCTGTAAAGCTATGTTTGGATTGAGTGATTTGGAGAGCAAAGAAAAGAAATTGAGTGATATATATTTCTCTTATTTGTTTGGATAATCTAAGTAGAGAGAAATGGGAAGAAATGAAGAGAAATGGAGAGAAACTCATTTCTCTTATAAGCCTCATTTTTAATCTTTTCAAAAGTGGAGAGATTGGGAGAGAAAAGAAATCACTATTTTCATAACACCAATTTGTCCCTATAAAAATAAAAGAAATAAAATGATTGAAGTGTATATGAAAATTCACATTGTGCAAAAAATAGATGACTACGTGTACATTTCAACTGCTAAATCCATAATTCACAATATGAAGATGTGAACATTCACATTACTATTAACAAGATGTCAACATTAAGCAAACATCAAAGTCCAATGACAACATCAACAATCTTCACATAATATAATGATGTGAACATTCACATCAGTGTATGATGATGTAAACATTCACATCAGTGTATATGAAAATTCACATTGTGCAAAAAATAGATGACTACGTGTACATTTCAACTGCTAAATCCATAATTCACAATATGAAGATGTGAACATTCACATTACTATTAACAAGATGTCAACATTAAGCAAACATCAAAGTCCAATGACAACATCAACAATCTTCACATAATATAATGATGTGAACATTCACATCAGTTTATGAGGATGTAAACTTTCACATTGATATTAACAAGATGTTAACATTAAGCAAGCATCAAAGTAAAATGAGAACATTAACACAACAATGAAATAGAACCAGCAGACAAATGAGAACATCCACATTCTTCACATATTCCCCATTCACAAAATGTGCAGATTGACATTGATATATATACTGATAATCAAATCATCCACACCGAGCCTCATTACGCATGCATCGAAGTCAAATGAGAACTACACAATCTTCACATAATACGAATGAACTCCCCTCCACATAACCACGTAAAATGCATATAATTAAAAAAACAGAGCATTCAATCCATATAAATCCAAAAACAGAGCATCTGATCCATTATACGAACGAAACCATAAACTGAACATGTATTCATAACCAAATTGATACTAACCTTGATCATCCAATCGTACAATCGTACAGAAAGTTGAAAAAAACTGATTTGAACTAGTTATAATCCGGAAAATGTAACAACCGAACACACTCCTCTTCGTCGTCTTCACACGCAAACCACAGAACCGGACTCCAACAGCAATGACGAAACCCTGGCACAACCAAACCTTGCAACGACCATGCAAAACATAAACGTATCTCTCGGAATTGGATTGATGATGAAAAGCGTAAAATAGAAACTGCCAAACTGCATGAACGAAGAAACAGGCACCTTTTACGTATTAACACTGTACATATATATATATAGGGTCAAAATAGTCCAACAAATTATATTAAATTAGAAAAATGGACCTTATGGAATATCCAGAAAAATTTATGGGACTAATTAGGTTATAATATTTTTTAGTGGACCTAATGGGTTATAACAACTCTAGAATGGATTTATCAATAAAAATCTCTTTTTTTATATTTTTTTATTATTTTTCCTAAAATAATAAGATTTGTTGATTTAATGTTATTTTGGGTATGATTTATTTTTAAATTTTTTTATTTATTACGGAAAAAAGTATATAAAAAAAAAGAAAAAAGAAAATTATATAATGTAATAGAAATAAACCCATAAGAAACTTATTTGAAGTGTCCCAAAAGAGGTATTAGATTATTAAAGGAAAATTTGGCTATAAACCCCCTTTATTTTCCTTTCATTGTTAAAAGGATTAAGAAAAAAATTATTTTTTAAACCCCCTCATAATTATAAAGTCTTACATAAAAGAGAAAATTTATTATTTAAATATTTTATCAGACTATTATACCTTCAACTAAATATTCACTCCTTCTCCACCCACTCTCTCCCCACCTTCTCTGTCTCTCTCCTCCCCCTCTAAACATAGTCTGAGGTGATCAAGAAGTCGAACAACGGCTCCGACCTCTGGCGAGACAATCTAAGGCGATTGATCTGACGAAGGCGAAAAGATTGGTTTGCAAGCTCTACGCAAAGGCTACGGCGGCGATTGTCACCGGACTCCAGCTATAGATATATATATATAGAGAGAGGCAAATATATGGAGGTGAGTTTACCATTGCCACCGATTTAAGGTTCAATACCAATCTAGGGTTCTAGATCAATGCTGTCTCGGCACTTCAGGAGGTGATAAAGGCGTGTGTTTGGTGGAGTTGTTTGATTATACATATTTTTTTCATACACAGATCTGAGTTTTGAATATATATATATATATATATATTCGTGTATATGAGTGTTGTTGAACACATGTATTCTTTGAAATCAAAAGATGGAGAGATATTTGGATGTGTTTTCTGAAACGATTGTCCGAATGATTTTGTAGAAGATTGAACTTTGGTATACATGGATTTTTTTTTTTTTTTTAATCTGGCTGGTTGTTGATCTAATTTTTTTTATTTGTTGTTGTTGACTGAAACATATAAATATTGTTGGAAAGAGAAACAAAGAGAGAAAACTCAGATTATGATCTGTATAATGTCAACAGATAAATGTTGATGTAGAGTAAAATTTGACTCTGGTTCATTCATTTAGTATGTATTTTATTTTTTGTAACAATAAAATTTTACTCTGGTTAAAAACATGTTGATTTGCTTAACAATATAAAATTTTATTTTGAAACATAGTAAATTTTATTCCAATTCAAAGTAAAATTTTACTCTGACAGTACAATTTTACTCTGAATCAGAGTAAAGTTTATTATGATTCAAAGTAAAATTTTACTCTTTTACTTTGGTTAAAAACATGTTAATTTGCTTAACGATATAAAATTTTACTTTGAATCATAGTACTCTGATTCAGACTAAAATTTTACTCTAAATCAGAGTAAAGTTTACTATGATTCAAAGTAAAATTTTACTCTGGTTAAAAACATGTTGATTTGTTTAACGATATAAAATTTTACTTTAAATCAGAGTAAAATTTTACTTTGAATCATTTACTCTGATTCAAAGTAAAATTTTACTCTGAAATACGCTGTGAGGATGACTTAATAGGAGAGCTGATAAATATGAGGATAATATAGTAAAAGAAACAAGTTTTAAAATATTAAGGGGTTTTGAAAGTACCTATATAATTCATGTCCTTTTGAAAGACAAATTAAATAGTGAGGGGTCTATCAAGGTAAATTATAAATACACTTTTTGAGGTTTGCTTAAAGTACAAATTGTTCCTGTAGTTTGAAAAATTATAAATACTCCCTTGTTAAAAAAATTTATTTAACAAAATTAACTAAAAAAAAAATCATAATTACTCTCCTATATCATAATAAAATTACCTAAATTATTAATTGAAACATATTTATAACATCATTAAAAATTGTTAATTAACTTGATTTTATCAATAAAAGAGGCGATTTGTTATGAAATTAGAAACCTTAGGGGTGGAATGTAATTTCCAGAACCACATGAGCTAATTTGTATTTTAATCAAATCTCAAAAAATGTATTTGTAATTTATTCCAAAAAGTATATATGTATATATTTATTTGTTATTTTCATATATTTGTGACTACCATAAAAGCAACACGTTTTTTTTTTTTTAAAGAAAGAGAACAAAAGAATTTATACTGAAATTACAATAATAATGAAAATATTTTTAGAACATAAATAAAAACAAATTGGAATTACACAGCTTTCCACTAATTTGGTACGTATGATGATGACTATCAATTGAAGAAAATATTTATGTAATTATTGTTATTTTTTGCAATGTAACTTTATTAGAACTTTGCGTTGTTATTTTCAATACTTTTATGTTATTTTGTATGCTTAAAAATATACATATCAATAGGATAAACTCATTTCTAATAAAAATAATACAAATAGCAGAGAAGGAATCAAAATTGTTGTGAATAAGAAAAAAAATAGAAAAATATAATATTGTGTGCTTTTAACTACCAGTCACATTAATCCAATGGTATAGAATAATTTTGAGAAAAAATATGAGAACTAAATTTTTCTCAAAATTATTGTGAGACCTGTAAGAATTAAAATTGTATAACAAAATTATTCCGCTTTGTATGCTTTACATAACAGGGATTCAACTTGTCCCTAGTCTAGAAAGTGGATAAAAATTAATAAATACATAAAAATATAAAAAAATATACTGAATTCTTGTATTTTTTTGTATTTAGTAAATTTTTAAAAGATTTTTTTTACAATTTTTTTACTTTTTAGATGTAATTATGTTAGGTGTGTCTAAAAAGTAACAAAAATTGTTTAAAATATTAAAAAAATTCAATAAAAACAAAAAAAAACAAAAAATAAGTGAGTAGAATTTTCTGAAAAGTGTTTTTTGAAAAATGAAAACAAGCAAGGTGAATATTGTGTGCTTTTAACTACCAGTCACATTAATCCAATGGTATAGAATAATTTTGAGAAAAAATATGAGAACTAAATTTTTCTCAAAATTATTGTGAGACCTGTAAGAATTAAAATTGTATAACAAAATTATTCCGCTTTGTATGCTTTACATAACAGGGATTCAACTTGTCCCTAGTCTAGAAAGTGGATTAGACCGCCCACTTCAATGGTTCAAATCATTATTTTTTAAACCACCCCTATAAATCATTAAAAAATAATTGAATTGACTGCAACAAGAAGGAAAACAAAATGGATAGACAAAGAAAGGTGAAGGAGAAATTCTCTTTATAGTTCATTGCAGTCGTCATTATTTTAAAAACACCAGCGAGACAACGTAGTATGTTAGGATCTATTTGATAACATGGAAAGAAAAGATCTTTGCTGCCATTTATTTACAAACATAGTCAGTGAGAGTCTAGAAAAAACAACATAGAAATCACATTGCAGACACCAGGTTTTCAGGCTCAGCCGTGGCTCCTGAAAGTGAGCCATGTGTCCACCTCTTTAGCATCTCTAGTGCAGCTTTAGGCTGATCCATTGGAACCATGTGACCAGCGTCGTGGACCTGATTATCACCCCGCACCATCATGCAAAAATGTTAACATTGACGATCACTAAATATCTATACTTCTATACTATATATTAAGTAAAAAGAGATTTTTAACTCCAAACTTTGTGGGAGTTCCAATCCCCTAATCTAAATTTTTTGATTTTTTGATTTAAAAAAAAATCGTAGCATTTATTCACTTCTCCCAACTCCCAAGTCTTACTATCATAATAACACTTTAATACATTAAGAACAAACATAAAAAAAAATTCTTAAAAAGTCCAACACATATGATTATTATCAAAATATTTAAACTTTAATACAATATAATAAAAAAAAAGACATTTAATTAATTGAAAAGTCTAACACAGATGATTATTATCAAAATATTAAAATTTAATAAATATAAAAAAGAAAAAAAAGATGACATTTAAAAAATATATATATTTAAAAATCACAATTCACATATATAGATAATTGTAAGCATAATCCATGCATAGCACTGGTGATATGCTATGTACACTATATATTAAGCAAAAGGAGTTTTTAACCCCAAGTCTTGTGGGAACTCCAATCTCCCAATCTAAATTTCTTGATTTTTTGATTTAAAAAAAAACATAAAAAAATCTTAACATTTATTAACTTCTCCCAACTCTCAAGTCTTCCCTCATAATAACACTTTAATGCATTAAAAACAAGCATAAAAAAAAATTATTTGAAATCCAACACATATGAATTCTTTAAAAAGTCCCAACACATATGATTATTATCCCTCATAATAACACTTTAATGTATTAAGAACAAGCATAAAAAAAATTTCTTGAAAAATTCAATACATATGATTATTTTCAAAATATTAAACTTTAATATAATATAATAAAAAAAGATATTTAATTCCTTGAAAAGTCCAACACATATGATTATTATCAAAATATTAAACTTTAATATAATATAAAAAATGAAAAAAAGAAGACATTAAAAAAAAAATTAAAAATCACAATTCACAGCTCCAATCTCTCAATCTAAATTTCTTGATTTTAAAAAAAAAAATCTTAACATTTATTAACTTTGCCCAACTCTCAAGTCTTACCCTCATAATAACAATTTAATGCATTAAGAACAAGCATAAAAAAAAAACATATGATTATTATCAAAATATTAACTTTAATCTATACTATATATTAAGCAAAAGGAGATTTTTAACCCCAAGCCTCGTGGGAGCTCCAATCTCCCAATCTAAATTTCCTGATTTTTTGATTTTTTTAAAAAAAAAACTTATCATTTATTAACTTCTCCCAACCCCTAAGTCTTACATTCATAATAGCACTTTAATGCCTTAAGAATAAGCATAAAAAATTCTTTGAAATCCAACACATATGAATTTCTTGAAAAGTCCCAACACATATAATTATTATCTATCATAATAATACTTTAATGCATTAAAAACAAGTATAAATTTTTTTTTTGAAAAGTCCAACACATATGATTATTATCCCTCATAATAACACTTTAATGCATTAAGAACAAGCATAAAACAAATTCTTTGTTGAAAAGTCCCAACACATATGATTATTATCTCTCATAATAACACTTTAATGCATTAAGAACAAATATTAAAAAAAAAATTCTTGAAAATTCTAACATATATGATTATTATCAAAATATTAAACTTTAATATAATATAAAAAAGAAAAAAAAAAGACATTAAAAAAAAAAAGACACTTAAAAATCACAGTTCATATATATAAATAATTGTAAATACAACCCGTGCATAGCATGAGTGATATGCTAGTATAATATAATAAAAAAAATAAGACATTTAATTCCTTAAAAAGTCCAACATATATGATTATTATCAAAATATAAAACTTTAATATAATATAAAAAAGGAAAAAAAAAGACATTTAAAAAAAAAGACATTTAAAAATCGCAATTCACATATATAAATAATTATCTATCTATACTATACTATATATTAAGCAAAAGGAGATTTTTAACCCCAAGCTTTGTGGGAGCTCCAATCTCCCAATCTAAATTTCCTGATTTTTTGATTTAAAAAAAAAAAAAAACTTAGCATTTATTAACTTCTCCCAACCCCTAAGTCTTACCTTCATAATAGCACTTTAATGCATTAAGAACAAGCATAAAAAAAATTCTTTGAAATCCAACACATATGAATTCCTTGAAAAGTTCCAATACATATAATTATTATCTCTCATAATAATACTTTAATGCATTAAAAACAAGTATAAATTTTTTTTTGAAAAGTCCAACACATATGATTATTATCCCTCATAATAACACTTTAATGCATTAAGAACAAGTATAAAACAAATTCCTTGAAAAAAAGTCCAACACATGAATTCCTTGAAAAGTTCAACACATATGATTATTATCAAAATATTAAACTTTAATATAATATAAAATAAAATAAAAAAAATATTTAATTCCTTGAAAATCCAACATATATGATTATTATCAAAATATTAAACTTTAATATAATATAAAATAAAATAAAAAAACATTTTAAAAAAAAGACACTTAAAAATCGCAATTCACATATATAGATAATTGTAAATACAACCCGTGCATAGCACGGGTGATATGCTAGTATAATATAATAAAAAAAATAAGACATTTAGGCCTCGTTTGGGAATAAGCTAATTTAGTAACTTTTTGGCTATTTGGCTAAAAAGGTAAGAAAAAAAAACTTGTATGTTTGTGATGACTTTTTGGCTAATTACGAAAAGATATGCAAAAAGTAGAGAGAAAAGAGAATCTTTGACTTTTTTGTATGAATTGTTGACTTTTTGGCTAATTTAATAACTTTTTGGCTAATTAGCTAAAAAAGTAAGTCCCCAAACGGGGCCTTAATTCTTTAAAAAGTCCAACATATATAATTATTATCAAAACATAAAACTTTAATATAATATAAAAAAGGAAAAAAAAGAAAACATTAAAAAAAAAAGACATTTAAAAATCGCAATTCACATATATAAATAATTATCTATCTATACTATATATTAAGCAAAATGAAATTTTTAACCCCAAGCCTTGTGGGAGCTCCAATTTCCCAATCTAAATTTCCTAATTTTTTGATTTAAAAAAAAAAAATCTTAGCATTTATTAACATCTCTCAACTCCCAAGCCTTACACTCATAACCACACTTTAATGCATTAAGAACAAGTTTAAAAAAAATTCTTTGAAATCCAACATATATGAATTCCTTGAAAAATCCGAACACATATGATTATTATTCCTCATAATAATACTTTAATGCATTAAGAACAAATATAAAAAAAAATTCTTGAAAAGTCCAACACATATGATTATTATCAAAATATTAAACTTTAATATAATATAATAATAAAAAAACACATTTAATTCCTTAAAAAGTCCAACACATATGATTATTATCAAAATATTAAACTTTAATATAATATAAAAAAGGAAAAAATAAAACATTTAAAAAATATATTTAAAAATCACAATTCACATATATAAATAATTATAAGTACAATAAAATAAGAGGGCATTTATGTCTACACGTTTTTTTTTATAAGATCTCATTATAATAAGATAAGGTCCAGCTTGTCTCAAGTTGAGATCAAGACTGGACCCGGCTAGTTCGGCCCATGGGACCCGTTTTGATAATCCGAATCGTTCAATGTGTAGAACTCGTCGAGTACTACATGCCTGTAAAAAATCACGTTGATCGGATATAAATAGCTATGTGATCAAATCAGTTTTGTATAAAAAAAATGGACGGTGAAACAATTAACGATTGATAAAAAAACTATTTTGTTCACATAGCTATCGATATCCGATTAACGTAATTTTTTACAGACATATAGTACTCAACGAGTTCTACACATTGAACGGTTCAGATTATCAAAACGGAACCTGTGGTGGGCTCCACGGGCCCAACAGCACAATCCAATCCAATCTTGGACTGGACCAAAGCCACTACTGCCAATAAGATAGCACTTTATTTCTCTCATCTTATAATCTATATAAAAAAATTATTTGAAATCCAACATATATGAATTCCTTGAAAAGTCCCAACACATATGATTATTATCTCTCATAATAACACTTTAATGCATTAAGAACAAACATAAAAAAAAATTCTTGAAAATTCCAACACATGATTATTATCAAAATATTAAACTTTAATCTATACTATATATTAAGCAAAAGGGGGTTTTAACCCCCAAGGTTTGTGGGAGCTCCAATATCCCAATCCTAATTTTCTAATTTTTTGATTTAAAAAAAAAAAAACATCAGCATTTATTAATTTCTCCCAATCCCCATGCCTTTTGGGAGATTTGGTCAAAACCTTCTCATAATTAAACTTTAATGCATTAAAAACTAGCATAAACAAAATTCCTTGAAAATTTCAACACATCTATCTATCTATATTATATTATCTATATCTATATCTATCTATCTATCTATCTATCTATATCTGTACTATATATTAAGCCAAAAGGGGTTTTTAACCCCCAAGGCCCGTGGGAGTTTCAATATCCGAATTTGAATTTTTTATATTTTTTATTAAAAAAAGAAAAACTCAACATTTATTGATTTGGTCAAAATCTCCTGATCAACATTTATTAACTTTTTTCAATCCACATGTTTTTCCACATGCCTGCATTTATTGATACAATCCCCTGATCAGCATTTGAAATCCTCTCATACAAATAATTATAGATACAATCCGTGTATAGTTACTGCAGTACCCTTTTTAACTTCTCTCATACACTATGCTTAGTGATAAGATTGTTAAATTATTTTTATAAAAAATCTTAAAAAACATAATTTATATATTAAAAAAAATTAAAACAAATATAAATATCTATAATTATCCCGTGCGTAGCACGGGTGATAGGCTAGTATTAAGCCTTGATGGTGACGGCTATGAAGATCCTCATCAATCTTCGGCGAATTTCTATGCGAATTTTTGGTACTAAAATTAGATCCGCGAGTTGCAGAGAAAAAATTGAAGAAATCGGAGTTAAATCACTTCCATTCGATGAAGAAATTCAGAGACTAATGGCGGCGCCACTGGAGACCAGCATTTTCTTCATTACTCTTCCTCCTCTAGGATGCTTTGAACTTCGTTTGACGGAAGAGAGAGAGTTGGAGAAGATAATGACGATGATGAACTCCGGCGATGGAGGTTGAGTTCGTCGGAGAGAGAAGAGCAGAGAGAGAGGAAGAGAGGGAGATACAGTTTGATTTGAGGGATCAAATTTCTCTATGATATATGGATGTCGTGAGTTGAGGGATCTTAGACATTATAAAATAATATTGTGGATCTCTTCCATTACTAAAAATGGGAGAGGGATCTTATACTAATTTTCTAATTATATATATATATACTATATATTAAGTAAAAGGAGGTTTTTAACCCCCAAGGCCTGTGGGAGCTTCAATATGTCAATTCTAATTTTCTAATTTTTTGTTTTTTTTTTTAAAAAATAAACCTCAGCATTTATTAACTTCTCCCAACCCACAAGACTTTTTGACTTCTCTCAAGTACCTTTTCCAAAGCAAATAATTTGTATATTAAAAAAAAATTAAAATAAATATAAATATAAATATCTATATCTATATCTATCTATTTATTTATATCTATCTCTAACCCACAAGTTTTGTGGGAGTTCCAATATCCCAATCTAAATTTCTTGATTTAAAAAAAAAAAATTTAGCATTTATTAATTTCTCATAGCCCCCAAGCCTTACCTTTATAACAACACTTTAATGCATTAAGAATAAGTATAATTTTTTTTTTTTGAAAAGTCCAAATTTTCTAATTAACATTTACTAACTTTTTTCAATCTACATGTCTTTCCACATGCTTACCATTATTGATTTGGCCAACATCCCCTTATCATCATTTAAAATTTTCTCATACAAATAATTATAGATACAACCCGTGCATTGTTACTGCAGTACCCTTTACAACTTTTCCTATACACTATGATTAGTGATAAGATTGTTAAATTATTTTTATAAAAAAATCTTAAAAAAACATATATCTATCTATCTATATTTATCTATCTATACTATATATTAAGCAAAATGGTGTTTTTAACCCCAAGCATTGTGGGAGTTCTAATCTCCCAATCTAAATTTCCTGATTTAAAAAAATAATAATCTTAACATTTAATGACTTCTCCTAACTACTAAGTTTTACTCTCATAATAATACTTTAATGCATTAAGAACAAACATAAAAAAAATTCTTTGAAATCCAACACATAAATTTCTTGAAAAGTCCCAACACATATGATTATTATCCCTCATAATAACACTTTAATGCAATAAGAACAAGTATAAAAAAAATTTCTTAAAAAGTTCAACACATATAATCATTATCAAAATATTAAGCTTTAATATAATATAATAAAAAAAGACATTTAATTTCTTGAAAAGTCCAACACATATGATTATTATCAAAATATTAAAATTTAATATACTACAAAAAGGAAAAAAAAAGACATTTAAAAAATATATATATATTTAAAAATCACAATTCACATATATAGATAACTAGCATAGCACCCGTGCTATGCACGGATTGTATTTACAATTATCTATATATGTAAATTGTGATTTTTAAATATTTTCTTTTTTATATTTTAAATGTCTTTTTTTTTTCTTTTTTTATATTATATTAAAGTTTAATATTTTGATAATAATCATATTCAGAAAGAGTTTGTAGCATCTCAAGAAGTTCCTTTTGAAGTTGATGGTTCCAAAGCAGGATTATTGAAGAGCCATGGGCCTCTCAGTTTCCTCAAGGTCTCTCTCTCTCTCTCTCTCAATACTTCAAGGTTCTTGTATATATATATATTAGTCTATCACCCGTCCTATGCACGGGATAATTATAGATATTTATATTTGTTTTAGATTTTTTTTAATAGATAAATTATGCTTTTAAGTTTTTTTATAAAAATAATTTAACAATTTTATCACTAACCATAGTGTATAGAAGAAGTTGAAAATGGTACTCCAGTAACTATACACCAATTATATCTATAATTATTTGTATGAGGAAATTTTAAATGTTGATCAGAGGATTGTATCAATAAATGCAGGTATGTGAAAAGACATGTGGATTGAAAAAAGTTAATAAATGCTGATCAGGAGATTTTGACCAAATCAATAAATGCTCAATTTTTTTTTTAATAAAAAATTTAGAAAATTCAGATTGAGATATTGAAACTCCCACAGGTCTTGGGGGTTAAAAACCCCCTTTTGCTTAATATATAGTATAGATATAGATAGATAGATAGATATAGATATAGATATAGATATAGATATAGATATAGATATAGATAGACGTGTTGAAATTTTCAAAGAATTTTGTTTATGCTGGTCTTTAATGCATTAAAGTTTAATTATGAGGGCATTTTGACCAAATCTCCCAAAAGACATGGGGATTGGGAGAAATTAATAAATGTTGAGTTTTTTTTTTTTAAATCAAAAAATTAGAAAATTAGAATTGAGATATTGGAGCTCCCACAAGCCTTGGAGGTTAAAAACCCCTTTTGCTTAATATATAGTATAGATAGATTGTAAATATATTAAGAAAAATGAGGTTTCTAAACCGCAAGCCTTGTGGGAGTTCTAATCTCCCAATCTTAATTTTTAAAATTTTTGATTTAAAAAAAAAAAAAAACCTTAGCATTTATTGATTTGGTCAAAATCCTCTGATCAACATTTATTAACTTTTTCCAATCCACATGCCTGTATTTATTGATTTGGTCAAAGTCTCTGATTAGCATTTAAAATCCTCTTATACAAATAATTATTGATACAGCCCGTGCATAGTTACTGCAGTAGCCTTTTTAATTTCTCCTGTACACTATGATTAGTGATAAGATTGTTAAATTATTTTTATAAAAAATCTTAAGAAACATAATTTGTATATTAAAAAAAAATTAAAACAAATATAAATATCTATAATTATCCCGTGCATAGGACGGGTGATAGACTAATATATATATATACAAGAACCTTGAAGTATTGAGAGAGAGAGAGAGAGAGACCTTGAGGAAACTGAGAGGCCCATGGCTCTTCAATAATCCTGCTTTGGAACCATCAACTTCAAAAGGAACTTCTTGAGATGCTACAAACTCTTTCTGACCAGTCCATTCCATGGCATTAACCCACCTTGAATTGCCTGCTCAAAAAAGGTTTATTTGTCAGCTAAGCATTTTTTCCACCTAACTTGAGAAGAATTTACTGAAAGTTTAATTCCCAAAAAGACTTAACCGAGCCAGTTGCAGATAAGATCATATTCTCCAGCATATACAAGCAACTGAATTCCATCCTCAAGAAGAGCAGGAAATGCCGACTTCAAGGTTCCTCATCCAGTCCACAAGCATGGCCTGATACACAGTAGTGCTACAAGAAACAAACTCTATGTCCCCCACTTCGAGAGCATCCCTAACAGTTTTCAGGTTCAGAAATTCCTCCATGTTTGAGAAGTCATAGCAAAGGCTTCCTACACACTTCTTTCTAATGTCGTAGTACTGCAAGTGAAGACATTAAATATGTAAATGCTACTCAAAAGTTGTTCTTTGCATCTCCTTGACAGTTCATATCCACTTCATTTTTTCAGGCACATCGTCGAAAGAATAAAAAAGTTTCTTCTAAATAACACATTTTGGAAGTATGTGAAAATTGGCTTACAAAGCAGTCAAAGATGCTAATAGATAACTAAAGGGTGAGTTTTTGCGTTTTCTTACGTTCATGTCACCAGCAATTGACATGATGCTATCGAATATGGTATTGCAAACATAGTATGAAGCCAGACAAGAGATTGTACCATCAGTCCCTGAAAAAAAAAAAAAAAATTATATCTTCAGCCCTGGAACAGAAAGATAACAGGCCCTGATGCTCAATAACGGGTAAGGATGCCTTCCCGATACCAAACAAATAAGATGTGATAAAAGGGGGAGGGAAAAAAAAAGGAGCAAGCTCTTATCACAAAATAAAAGAGGAATATGAAATGGGAGATCACCACAAAGCTTTATTGCCGCTTCACATGCAGGAAGCTTCTTGTTGATGCGTTTATACTGAGATTGCTTAATAATCCCCATGTCCAACGCATAATCCGTGTATGCTTTGTACTGAATTGCAGGATTAGTAAGACCATTACCAATGGCAAATCCCTGTATGAGGAATATAAGTTACATTCAGTAACTGAGTTTTGATGATATAATAACAATACAATGCAGACATTGTTATTACTCGCGCCATACCTTCAGGTTTATGTGAATCCCCTCTTCAGCTTTGTTTCCTTGGTGGACTCGCGCAGCAAAAGCAGGTATATAGTGCCCGGCATAGGACTCTCCAGTTATGTAGAAGTCGTTCTTTGTGAACTCGGGATGCTCTGCAAAGAAGGCCTAATAACATTCGAATGAACAAAATTCAGTCATAATTGCATCTGTTTCCATTGATATATCTAATTCAAATTATGCATGCAATTTTTCCTTTCATCCTCTTCATCTCCAGTCCAAAATAAAATACATCATGAAATAATGTTTTCAAACAAGGGATTCAGCTAATTCAAGCAAAATAGCATGTTTAAGAAAAAATTACTAGAATATTAGATGATGAAGTTTCATATGGAGGACGATGTTTAACATAACTATTAAACCAAGTGAAGTTCACTTCTTTACAGTACTTCAGACATAACGTTTTTTAATGTTGAAGAAACATACTTGTAAGAAGTCGTATAGGTCATTACTGACACCATTTTCATTGTGTCGAATGTCACGTTTATCAGAGCTGTAACTAAAGCCAGTCCCAATGGGTTGATCCACATACAGAAGGTTCGATGCCTGCAGAATTATAATAACAGCTATATTACCCTTTTTTATAGAAGTACTACTAGTAACTAAAAGAGGGCCTTCGAATGAGAATATAAATATTAAAACCAAAAAAAAATGTAAAAAGATGGACTTGGCAAGAATTCTATAATGAATGTTAGAATAGCTATCATGTTAATGTCAGTCAACTGCATCAAGCTCCATACATGCTTGTTCTGTGATAGGAACGACATCTAAGAAGCACACGCTTCTAAGAAGGTGAGGTATCCATGTCAGACACCAACACTCTTTAAAACGTATCATATTTTTTAATTTTTTTTACAGACTCAAACACTCTCTAGACACTTGGAGGACACACATGTTTATCGCTTAAACACACGATTAGACATAGGTGAAACTAATTATAAGTTTGAACAAAACAATTTAAGAGACAATAACAAACAAAAACCATATTAATTTTTAAGAATTAATGTCATATTACATTTTTTATTATTTTTGAATGATATATTCATATGTATAACATATAATAAATATATAAAATTATATATTTCATGCGTGTCCTCCACGCATCATGTCATGCATTTTGTAAAAATTAGCATGTCGGCGTGTCGTGTCGTGTCGCGTGTTCGTGTCCATACTTCTTAGAATGGCATGAAAACAAGAGAGAGCTTGGCCTGTTTGACAAATTGACTAAAATGCATAACAATTTGTTTGATAATAACCAACATATTTAAATGTAAATACCAACTAAACCATTTTGAGAGTCACAAAATAATTCCTCTATACATAATTTATTTTCTTTTAAGATTGGAAACTCCTTCTTCCTGACTAAAGCAAAGCCAGTGGACTAGAATGGGGTCCAACATAATGAAGAAAACATGAAGAAGGCAAACAACAGGGTTCTGGACAGTTGTTAGACGTACACTTAATGTAAGCATACAAAAGACTTGAGATGGTAATTCAGGTGGGTGAAGCGACTTTACATTGCTTTTATGCATACAATGACAGACAAAGGAAGCGAAGGAAAGACATCACTTTGTCCACAACTATAAAATCACAACCACAAAGTAAACAAATAAAAAATGCATGCTAACTCCTCCTTACAAGATTAGTGCTCAAATAAAACAACAAAATCCAGTAACAACTATAATACTAAATCTTAATGCACAGTTGCAGTTACTACAAATTTATTCTTGGAAACCATACCATGTCCCAACCATACTCATTCCATACAAGAGACATGTTTTTTGCAATAGTGAAAGGCCCATTTTCATAGAACATAGCCAACTCGCTGCTACAGCCTGGTCCTCCAGTCAACCAAATGACAACAGGGTCCTCGTTGCTGTTGCGTGATTCAAAGAAAAAATAGAACATCCTATAAAGACAAACCATGATTTATAAGCACAAAGATTCGAAAAAATCAAAAAAAAAAAAAAAAAACAAATAAAATCTCACATTAATAAGCTAAAAAGAAATAAGGTAAGGTAAAAACAAAAAATCAAGTAGAAGTATAATATTAATGAAACGTGACAACATGATTCCCGTAACATTTAATATAGTCCATAAATGTTGCAACACCAACTTAGCTATCAACAAATAAACTCCAGTAATTTAAGCTATAAAGAGCTACAGAGCTAAAGATACTATACAACTAACCACATTTAACAAATCCAACCATGTTGTTCGTTATCGAATAGGCATGTTGTCAGTAGAAATTAAATTTTAATATCATAAAAAAACATGCATGGACATATCCATACATGACCTTGATCATGAGCTGAAACTGTTTGTAATACCACATAACAATAGATTTTCAATAAATAAATAAACTGAACAGCCCACTAATATGTTTAATTAAATATAATTAATGACCAAATTAATTGATATGCAAATTCAACTGAAACAACAATCAAGGTCATTGACTCGCTGAATGCTCAGTGCAACACACTAGAGAGTCTTTCATTCCATAATAAACCTATCCACATAACATCTAATCTAACTATAAACCCCAAACACACAAATGAATGAGATATAAGTCTACTTGCATGAAATATACAAAACCCTTATGCTGTGTTGGTTGGGAGATTTGGAAAGGAAAAGAGAAATGTAATCCTATTTATGTTTGGTTATAATAAAAAACATATGGAAAAAGAAAAGGAGTGGGAAATAAATAAACAAATAGGACCACCTTCTAGAACATCAATTCCTTTTATATCTGTGATAAAAGACCCGGGAAAACTAGGAGGAAAAATTTATCTGGGAGAGAGAGTTTCATTATTCATGGCTTCTCGCAGGAGACCATGAGTAGCTTCAAAAAACTACCACCGACGATTTTTGAAGATCTAACTCCGGTAGCAAACTCTAATTCGCAGCATCATTCAGCAAACCCTTCCAATCAAGGATCATCATTTGCTTCAATTGGAAATCTTCAATCAATGAACTCGATTGAAGATTCATTGCCTGGAATTTTCGATCAGGTATTTGTGCTCCTCTTTCATTTTCTCTTACCTTCTATCAAACTTAGATCTATATTGATTTTCATGAATTTTTTTATTTGCAATTTTGCTTCGAAGTGAATTGCAGATCTAACTCTGATAGCAATCTCTAATTCGCAGCATCATTCAGCAAATCCTTCCAATCGAGGATCATCATTTGCTTCACAAAATCGACAGACTATTTGATTTGACTTTCAAAAACTTCTTTTAAGTTTTTATTCTAAAATATTAATTAGGTGAAAGAAATAAAAAAAAAAATACCTATCATTTTTATACAATTTTATTTTTTAGGAGGCTGTAAATAATTTTTAAAAATTTTAAAAAAATTGATTTTTACTTTTACCAAATTGTTTTTTATTTTTTATTTTTAAAAATTGAAACTTTTTTCTAAAAAAACAGACAAAAGCACTTTGAACATATACACCCATATTTTTCGTTATTACAATTCACGACTACAATGCACCAGTTTGTAGTCAAATTATATTAAACATATTTAATATAATGGTGGTGCTATATACACCAATTAGTATAAATACTAGTTATGATATTATTATTGACCTCACCCAATATACAAATTATAAACACCAAAAACATCTTAAATTATGTAATATCATCAATTACTACACTAGTTAATATACTAATTGATACATATAGCATTATTCTTAATATAATTATGAAGTGAAGCAGAGAGTTGTTGATGGAGATGAGCGTGTGTGATGATGGACAATGAGAGAGAGTTCTTGAGAAATGATTTCTTTTCCTTCTTCAACTCCCAACTCAACCAAACATAGTTGAGACTTGGAATCTTATTAATTCTTCCTCATTTCCATTTCCATTTCCATTTCCATTTCCATTTTCCTTCCCAAATCTCTCAACCAAACACAGCATTAATCCAAATTGACAACTCAAATCCTTGATTAACAAAACAGGAAAGTATAACCAATTCTCTAGTACCTATTGCAAAAACAAAAACCCTAATAAAAATTAAAATTCTAGGGTTTTGGGAATTTACCTAGCAGCATGAGAATGCTGAATCTTATAGTAGCCAGCAAAGTGACCTAGGTCTTCGGCGGGGACGAAAGGGCCAGGCAAATTGGGGAACTTGAAGCGCTTCTCCACAAGGCTGGGACGGGCCGGCTCAGATTCATCGCGATCGACGATGTTGATTGGGTCCTTGGGAAACAAATTGAGCTCTCTGATCAGCTTCTCGGCTTGAATTGAAGGCAAATTTGGGATGGGAAGAAGAGTCGATGAAGAAAGAGGAGAGAGAAGAAGAAAGAAACATAGGGCAATCAAAGTCTTCATTTTTCTCCAATTTCAGCTCTCAAAACCTCTGGTTTATGAGATAGAGAGAGTGTGTGCGCGAGGTCAAATATTAGTATGTCAGTTAGAGAGAGACAGAGAGAGAGAGAGAGGACTTTATAAGGTTGCGTTGCCGGAGTCTAGTGTGGTTAGGCGGGAAAGGAAAATAAGATGCTGATACAGTGGCCGAAATTTTAGCAGAATTCTACCATGCACACCTATCATATTATGTCTTTTTTTTTTTCAAGATATGATTAATTTTCTTTAGTTAGGATCGTATAATGTTTTATTATAATTTTTTTAATTATAATTCAAAAAATATGAATTTATATACATATATATTTTCTTTTAATTATAAGGTATGTATGATACATATTTTTACAAATAATATATAAAATAAAAAGAAATAAAAAAATGTGTTTGATGTATATATATTTATTAAAATAAATAAAAGTAATAAAATATAAGTTGCTAAAATATGACTGGTGAGAGAGAATAAGGGAAAATAATAATAATAATAATAATTTATTTTTAAAACAAGTGAAAACAATTTTAAGATGCAACGCATAATTTTTATTTGCAAATGAAAAATGCTTGGGAGCACTAATTAGTGCTCCCACTAATTAGGTGGCAGTGGGTCCCGTCATGAATGATGTGATGTTTTGGTTTTGGAGTTGTAATTTTTTTTTATTTTTTTTATTTTTTTAATGCATTAGTGCTATTAGTGGTGATGTTTTTAGTGGAATGAATCATTGTTGTTTACAAATTGCTAGTGTAATATAATGGTATTGTAAAAAGTCCACAGAACATCAAAAGCAAAACACACCAAATCGGTGTTCTCAATTCATAGATTAGTATAAATTATTAGAGGGCTGATTGTAATAAAGTTCTAGACATAATTCAATTTCATATCATAAACCAGCTTCTTCATTTATTTGTTTTTTTCAATTTGATATTCAGACATATTTAAGATTTGGGTATTTTTTTAGTTTGGTGGATAGTAAATTATGCAAAAACAAATTGGGAACAAGAGTATATACGTGCTTCATCTAACATTTCAAACAAATTATTTGTTTAGGTGCACTCACTTTGCATTTGTTAATATATAAACATTTACGGCACAGTTCACAAGCCCGACCTTAGCTCAGTTGGTAGAGCGGAGGACTGTAGTGGGTATCAACACCTGATGGAGATCCTTAGGTCGCTGGTTCGAATCCGGCAGGTCGGATTTTTTTGTCTTCTTTTTTATTAACTTTTTATACAAAATAATAACACTTGCTTGTTTTTACTTTTCAAAAAATATTTTTTAGAAAATTTTACTTTATTATTTTTTGTATTTTTTTGATTTTAGTGAATCTTTTTAATATTTTAAGCAATTTTTTTACTTTTTAGACACACTTAACATAAATACACTTAAAAAGTAAAAAAAATGTAAAAAAAATCTTTTAAAAATCCACTAAATACCAAAAATATAAAAAAATATAAGAATTCAGTATATTTTTTGTATTTTTATGTACTTATTAATTTTTTAAAATATTTTTCACAAATTTTTTACTTTTTAGATATATCTAAGTAAGGTAATCTAAAAAAATAAAAAAAAAATGTTTAAAATTTTAAAAATATTCACTAAAAACAAAAAAACTCGAAAACTAAAAAAATCAATTTTCAAAAAATTTAATTCAGACAATTCAAACCAAACACCCTAAATAATAATACAACAATGATTCATCCCACTAAAAACATCACCACTAATAGCACTAATGCATTAAAAAAGTAAAAAAAAAAAAAAAAACACAACTCCAAGACCAAAACATCACATCATTAATGGCGAGACCCACTGCCACCTAATTAGTGGGAGCACTAATTAGTGCTCCCAAGCATTTTTCATAATAATAATAAGGATACACAAAAAAAATATAATAGTAATAAAGATAATGAGTTGACTTTTCATATTTAAGTCAAACTGCCCGAGCAAGGATCCTCTAGAGTGATTTTTTCCTAAAGTTTCCTAGAGTGCTACATTGTGTGGTTGAGATTTACTGGTAAGTCACATCAATTTTTCTGATGTGACTTGCCAGTAAATCTCAACCACACAATATAATACTTTAGAAAACTTTAGAGAAATTTCACTCTAGAGGATCCTTGGTGAAACTGCCCACCTCTTTAGGGTGCTTTTTGTACAGTAGAATAAGGGTTTGTTTTTTTTAAAAAAAATGAGTGTACTTTTTCATGTTAAATTTTTTTTTTTTGAATATTTTAATCAAACTGCCAACCTCTTTTAGGGTGCTTTTTGTACAGAATAAGTTTTAAAAATAAAATAAAAATAAAAAATAAATTTGGCTATCCGAACATCTTTTAGAACATTGATACCAAACCTAAGCTTACAATTGAAAATTAGAGCATATTTGAGATATGTTCTAAATAAGTATATTTTTTGATTTTTTATAAAAAGATGTGTAGAAAAATATAAAAATTATATGACTCAAATAATTACACTTATTTCAATTAAATAAGTGCACTTATATAAATTATGCCAAATAATCTTTTTAGTCTTTAACTAATTCATTAGTTTTGACTATTTAAAAATTCTCAACTCAAATCAAAGGTGATTAAGTTAATATTTTTTTAAAAGGCAAATTATACTAGAGGTCCCCATAGTTTCTCTTAAATTTTATTTTGATCCCTGATGGTTCAATTTGAACATATTGCCCTCCAAGTTTTATTTTGTACCAAATAAGGATAATTGTGGATGAAAGTTAAATTTTTTTGATGAAAAATGGTTATATGTATTGTATTGCACATAACCATCTTTTAAGGGATAAAATAGAAATATACACTAGGTTATCGAGTTCATTCACTTTGAGTTACTTACTGAGTTGATTTACTCACGTTGCTTACCTACCAATCCCATATCACCAGATTCAGCACTTCACGTGGCAACACACAACCAGCACAAGCTCTTCCTTTCATCACCTTTACCTTCAACCTCACTTTCTTCTCTCTTCATTTCTTAGATCAAACTATCATCCAACAAATTATTTTTCACTCTTACTCAAACTGTGACATTATAAGTGTTTAATTAAATATCACATAAATAATTATAGGTATATATAGGATATCGTTTGGCAAGTAGTTTTTTTAGTCAAAAAGTCAAAAATCACTAAACAAACCAAAAAGCCAACAATCAATACCAAAAACTCAATGATTTTCTTTTCTTTGTACATCTTTTCCTATAAAATTAAAAAGTCATCCCAAACATACTACACTACAACAAAAACATACTTTAGTGGCACTACACTAGTGGCATATTTTTAGAAAATGCCACAAAAAATGATATTTAGTGGCACGTTTTTGAAAAATGCCACAAAACGACAAACATAAAAGGCTCTAGTGACATTTCAATGAACAAGTGTCACAAAACTATAACAAAAACACACTTTAGTGACACTATACTAGTGACATGTTACCTCTCTTTTCCTTTTTCATTTTTTTTTTGGCACACGCTTTTGTCAATTTGTCATTTATATATATATATATATATATGGAACATCAAGAGCTATTGATTGCTTATTTGTTTTGTTTATGTAAGATGAAAGGTAGATTGTTATTTTGTAATTTCTAACTTTGAATTGATTGAAGTAAACTGCTTCCCATACTTCAGCATGTATGTGCTGGTTTGGCATATCATATTTGGACTAAAATAATTAAAATAAATTAAATTAAATTAAAAAATTAATAAAATAAAATATCACATTTAAATCATAATCATTTCATTTTT